GGTTCTCTCCTGAAGGTCCAGCAGCAGCTCTTGTCCTCTGGGAATCCAGCAGGCTAAGGGCTCCCTGTGCTGGTCCAAACCCCAGCTTATATCCCTGTGAGCATGTTTGGCTCCCCACCCCTGGGGTGAGTCACCTCACCATGGGACAAGGCATAAGGATCACTGGGAGGATGTGTCATGCATGGGTCCTTGACAGCCCCTTAATCAGGGAGCCATCAGGATTGCCCTGAGGGAGGGACAAGGTGATAACGATCACTGCCCCACCTGCTTTAACAGCTTGTGGAGATGATAATAGAATACATACCGTGGATATCCCCCACACTGCAACTCAGGACACTGGTCCTAAGGGAAGATTTGAACTCACCACACACAGACCTTGTTGATATGCCTGGATTAGTTGCTGTGGTTTGTAGTTGACAGGATTAAGAGCTGGAGACCTTTTTGTGTGGCTCACTGGAGGGTAACACAAGACCTTTTTGAAACTCTCTGTTAGCTATTGCCACTTCAGGCTAAAATCATAACTGATGTCTTCTGAACACCTTGCAGAGGGGAACAAGCATTGCTGTTGCCCTGTGCCACCTATTTGAATGGTTCTTTTCCTCCTCCTTGCCCTATGCATCCCTCTGCAGGAGGCATGTGCCCGTTCAGACACATCAGCGGGGAAAAGACAGTTGTTTGCAAACACTGGCTACGAGGACTGTGCAAAAAGGGAGACCAGTGCGAGTTTCTGCACGAGTATGACATGACCAAGATGCCTGAGTGTTACTTCTACTCCAAATTTGGTAAGTAGCTCCTCCTCAGTGTTCCTTACTGGCATGGGAGTCTGGTGAACAGGATCCTGGTGCATCCCTCCCATCCATCCTCAGAGTTTGTCTGTGTCTGATGACATGTTAGATTGTCTTTTTTTTTTCCCAGATCTACTTAGTCTTTCACCTTATTATCTACCTAAATTTGTGATGTATTGTTGATGTCCACTTTCAGGAGCTTGTCCCTTGCAGGAAGAGGGGGAAAGTTCCAGTTTTTATTAAGTTTTATTCCTTATGGGTTTTTTTGGGTTATGAGATGAGTAGGCTGAGCAGTTGGTCTTTGCATGACTCTTACTTTGGGGAGTTGATGAGCAGCAGAGGGCATGGGGGTGCAAAAACTTTTATGCACTTGCTTTCCAGCTCTGGAGATCTGGACATAATGAGGCAACTTGCTGCCAGAAACTTACAGTCTTGTAGGTTTCCTTGGATGGAGGTTAGTGTGCAATTTGTAGTTTCTCCACATTTCTGGTGCACTGAATGTTTGGGTTTTGTTATTATGACTGCTCTTTCAAGTTTAGTTTGCCCCTTGGTTTTTAAAAGCACACCCAAATTATCCAGTCTGGTACAACTTTACTCACCAGTGTTGAGTCCTTGGTGTTCTCCATGTAGGTTAAGGCAGGCAGTAAAACTGTTGTGCCTGAACTTATAAACCTTGGTAACAGCTTTGTGGGAGCTCCATGATCCAGGTAATGTTTTGAGAGTCATTTTGATCTCCAACCTGCACAATTGACTGAGAAGTGTGTTTGCCTTTGGTACAGGGGAATGCAGTAACAAAGAATGTCCATTCTTGCACATTGACCCGGAGTCTAAGATCAAAGACTGTCCCTGGTATGACAGAGGCTTCTGCAAACACGGTATGTACCTCACACTGTTGCTGTTTCTGTGGCTGGAAATCAAGGGTAGGGTGTTGCTGTTCTCTCTTTCCATGATCTACTTGTGTACTTGCTATGCTGAGTGCTGGGGTGTGGATATATGGAACATGAACTAATGAGCTCTGTGTTGCAGGTCCTCTCTGCAGACACCGGCACACTCGGAGAGTCATTTGTGTGAATTACCTGGTAGGATTCTGTCCAGAGGGCCCTACCTGTAAATTCATGCAGTGAGTATGCTCCAGGCCTGTCCTGTGACCTTGTGTGTAACTTCTAATCCAGTAAATGTCAAATGAGGGTGTTCCAGTGCTTCCCAATGGCTTTGGGGATTTGGCCAGTGCTCAGTTTGGACAGATTTTTACTGATCTGAGGATGGAGACTATTTACAAGAGCATGTGGTGACAGGACAAGGGGGAATGGGTTTATATTGATGAGTATGCTCCAGGCCTGTCCTGTGACCTTGTGTGTAACTTCTAATCCAGTAAATGTCAAATGAGGGTGTTCCAGTGCTTCCCAATGGCTTTGGGGATTTGGCCAGTGCTCAGTTTGGACAGATTTTTACTGATCTGAGGATGGAGACTATTTACAAGAGCATGTGGTGACAGGACAAGGGGGAATGGGTTTATATTGATAGAGGGTTAGATTAGATATGGGTTTATATTGATAGAGGGTGGGTTTAGATTAGATATCAGGAAGAAATTCTTCCCTGTGAGGGTGCTGAGACACTGGCACAGGTTGCCTAGAGCAGCTGTGGCTGCCCTGTCCTTGGAAGTGTTCCAGGCCAGGTTGGATGAGGCTTGGAGCAACCTGGGCATGTGGGAAGTGTCCCTTCCCATGGCAGGGGGTTGGAACTGGATGATCTTTGAGATACTTTATAACCCAAACCATTCTGTGGTAGGGGGCAGGGTCTCTCCAGGGAGTTCCCAATAAGACTCTAGAGTGTTGATTAGATGCCATCAGTGCAGTGGGATCACGTGGGTTTATATTCCAGAAGGCAGAGGGATATGCTACATAAATGCAAAGAGGAGTGGGGAGGGGGAGGTCTGTTTCCTGTGAGCCAAATTTAATTGGCTGAATGTTCTGTTCTTTGGAGTTACTGGATTGAGCTGATGCTAAAATGTTGGCATATGGTTTGAAAATCAATTTTCTTGTCTCCATCTAAACCAGCCCTCGATTTGAACTGCCAATGGGAACCACAGAGCAACCACCACTGCCTCAGCCAACACAAACACAGCAAAAGGTACACAGTTCCCTGCCTCCTCCCCCACACACCCTCAAAACCTTTCCCACAGTGCTTTAAAAGAGGGTATATTGCCTAGTGGGTCAAAATTGGGCACCTGACCACTTAGATCTGGAAGGGAGAATTAAGCAGTGAGAACCCTCAGTGCCATCATAGTGATGGAAGCTCCACAATTCTTCCAACTTGATATAGACATCTAGTCCCAGAACACTCCCACTCTGCATAGAAGCACATCATATGTGGTTGTGCAGCAGTCTGCCAGTTTTTGTAGTCTGTGTGACATCCTTCAGTGAAGGCAATGATATTCTAGCAACCTAAACCTACTCTGTAAATCTGCTTCCCAGAGAAAAACAGGATCCCTGAGCTTTGTATGCCTTAGTGCTTGATTTCTTCTCTCTGGTGCTCCAGCTGGCAGAGCACCCACACACAGATTTGGAGAAAAACTGATCATTTGACATATGGGGTGCTCTTTTCCCTTCTTAACAAAATAACAACCATAAAGATCTTTATCCTTAATGCACTTAACGAGTCAGAACTCTTCTCACCAACAGAGGACACCCCAAGTCATTGGAGTCATGCAGTCTCAAAATAACAACACTGGGAACAGAGGACCTCGACCATTGGAGCAGGTCACCTGCTACAAGGTAATTCAGAGGGGAGGGTGAGGAGGGGAAGGCAGAGGGTCCTGGATTCAAGCATTGCAGAGTGCACATCACCTGGACTGCTTCAGGCTGCTCTGCTGCTGTTTTTGCTGGTCGTGGGCAAAGCAGTGGACTGTGGTGATGTGGGGTGTTGGCCTGCAAAAGGTGTTTTCATGGTGTAAAGGGGTTCATGAACTGTTCTGCTGTTCTGGTGCCTGGACACGGCTGTGGGAATTGGCATTGAGTTCTGAGCTGACTGTCTTGCCAGTTCCTGGGCTTGCTGTGACAATGAAGGATGCTGTAGGAGTTTGCTGTCTGCTAATCAACAGGAAGCTCTGCCTCACTGACAGTGAGAGACTGCTGAACACATTGCAAAATAAGAGTTAACGGTAGTTTTGTCTCATGAGTTAATTTGCTTACACTGATGACTGTAGAAAGATTTTCTTCTCCCCTGTTAGCCTGGAAGGTTCTTGTGAATAGCAGAAATTGAGTTTGCAAAGGCTGTTGAGTATTTGAGTTGTACATGCACCCTGTGGTGTCAGACCAAGGAATGAGCTGTTCACCTTGATTGCTCTTTGAGGAGCACCAGGAAAACTTGAACACAGTTGAGTTTCCATCTCCATTTAGTTTTCCACAAAATCCTCAACACTAGCCATTAGAAAAGGGCCAAAAATCTTCTTGTCCCATCAGCCTTGACGGTTACATTGCTGGAACATTCCAACTCTGTGCCTTAGGTGATCCCTGTGATTGCACAGGGGTGTTAACCAGCTGAATCCATTTCACTGAAAACCTTCCATAGCTGCTTATTATTTGACCTGCACATATGTCATAGATCTGGACAATGCTGTCGCATCAGATTCTGACATTTCTCTGGGTTTGAATAGCTTTAAGGTCCAAAGTCATGAATCTGTCCATGCCTTTCAAGTTCGGAGGTGCTTTTCTCTGTTCAGTTCAGGATAGCTGATCAGGAGAGTCCCCATGGATCTCTGATGTAGTTCATATCAGATGGAGTAGTCTTGGAAGCCTCAAGTGTTGAAATTCTCTTTGGGGGTTACAGCCCTTTGCTGTTTGTAGTCATGAACATTACATTGTAGTGGATTATTGTAACATAGCATCACATTGCTCCCAGCACAGAAACAGCTTTGGCTCCAAGGAGTGGAAGTAGCCCATAAATCATGTCCCTTGTGACACTTTGTTTCCCTTCACCTGCTAAATGCTGCATTTCCATACCTGGAAAAGCTTCCAAATGGGAACAGCTGCTGACTACCTTAATTAAAACAGATAGAAGTGAAAAAAAGCTGTATTAATTCCTGTCTCTCTTTCTTTTTCAGTGTGGTGAGAAAGGTCATTATGCCAACAGATGCACCAAAGGACATCTGGCCTTCCTCAGTGGGCAGTGAAGGAGCTGCAAGGGAGCTGTTAGCACTGAGGGAAGGTTTCTGCCTAGCACTATGTCTGGAACTATTAATCAGGTTGTTTTTTAATGCCATTACTGAGAGAATTGGGCAGACGCTGGCTGCTGCTAAGCAACATTTTTGTAATTGGCTCCAATTTTTAAGTTTTAACCTTTTTAAAATCGATTTTGGCCTCTGCCTGTTTTCATTGAGCCCTGATGAAAGGTTGATCTAAAAGCCAATAGGTAAACCAACCCCCATCTGTGCAGCCAGTGTTTCTTTGAAGTATTTTCCTTCTGTCACTTTCTTTTGGAGGACCTGCAGCGTTTCAGCCCTCCCTGTGGAAGCAGGAAGACTGACTGGGAAAGCTGACATGTGCAATGCCTTCCCTTCAGTAAGGAAGCAGAAATTCTGCTCCTGTAGCTCTTAAAAAGCAAAGTCATGTTTCCAGGTCCAGCCTGGTAAGCTTGTCCTGGTGGCTGACATAACACCTCACATACACCAGGCAGTAAAACTTGTGTCCACTTGCTTTGTTTCCTGTGCTTCTTACTGTACTGAAGGTTAGAAATTCATCCTCTGGGTGAGAACCGAATAAGGAGTAAATAAATTGGCATCTCTGTGGTTAGCCAGACAATAAGGAATAATGATTATAGGAAAGCTGCATCTGTGCTCAGTTGCTATTTGCAAAAGGCAAGGAGGGGAATGAGCACAGCTAAAGAGTAGGAATAGATTTGTCTCAGCCCCCATTGTCCAGCTCACACTGAGCAGGTATTCCCATAACCTAGAGAAGAGTAGGAAGTGGAGCTGTGTATTCTCATGGAACACTGCTCCTAAAAGCAGTAGAGTTTTCTTTTAAGAGAATTATTTTTGCAGCCCAAACCCCATTCATTTGAGATTATTTCAGAAGGGCCAATGACAAAATATGGATTAAAACAAAGAAAAATTGCACCCACAATGTGAGCCTTATTGATTGCACCCCTTCTCTTGTTTGCTGCCTCCCTTTAAACTTTGTTTTTATTGAAATGTACTGATGGCAAAAGCTGGCTGTGATTTATTTTTCTTTAAGAACAAGGCAATATGACTGGATTAAGAGAAGTGACTGGAGCCTATGTTGGTGTGAGTGACTGTGGTTATTTCACTGTGGAGTCAGTCACAGTACAAGTTTGAAGCCCAACGTCAGAGACCATCAGCCACTTTACATGACACTTTTTTTGCCCTGAGACTCAGTGGTGACCAGGCTATGAGGTGTGTGACCTGTGTGTAACTGGGCACGTGGAACAGGAACTAAAACACTTCAGTGCTTTCCCCATCTAGTTCTGAGTCTTTGCTACCTGAACAGATGTTTCCCCAACACTGAAAACCTTCCTGTAACACTGAAGCTCTTGGGAGATTCTTCATGCCCCTTAAGTGGTTTCCACTCTTCCTCCTGTTGAGCAAGGACAGTGCAGGTGGTTCCTTAGTGCCCATCTGCAGGTTCTGATGTGACAGTGGGACACAGTGGGGTGTGACGAAGGTCAGAGCTGGGGCCAAACTAATAGATGTTATCTTAAGGTGTATTTCTGCGCATAATTTTTTCCATTACGCTTCTGACCACTTGTCAAGAAGGAAAGTTTTCCTTTAGTTTATTTTCCTGGAGCTTCATTATATTAGAAGTCTGAAACTTCAGCTTTAGCAATGAGAGAGGTAAAAGTTTGATAGGAAAATTTGGGTTATCCAAGGCAAGGAGCACTGAAATCCTAGTGAGAGCTGCAGAGCTCCTTAAAGCTGAACTCATCTCAGACAGTGCTCTGCAATGATGGAAAAGTGCCCAAATCCCTACACTCCCTGGTGACAGCCTGACTGAGAATCAAACACCAACAGGTCACCCAGAGCTCACATACTCCTTCCAAACCAAAACACATCCTTTCAGCTTCTTGTTGTTATTTCAGCCTGTACGTAAGGACCAGGAAGAACCAATCCAATGCTTTTAGTTTTATCAAACAGGAATCAATTGCAATAGTTCCCCCAGTTCATAATGCAACCCAAGGAGCACTTTCCCAACCACCTCTAAACTTCCCCTGAGGAGTGAAACTCCAAGAAAACAAACTCATTTGCACAGTACAATTAACTCAATTAGGAGAGTGTCAGCTCAGGAATTGTAAAGTGTGTGCACTTTATTACTGGTCAGAATAGTACAGATTTCATATGGATAGTTCAGGTGTTTTCTGCCAGGATAACTGTGCCAGCAGCCAAGTGTGTTCAGGAGCTGAACCTTCCCCTCCTGACATCCACGAGCCTCAGTGGTACTTCCTGTGCCGTTCGTGCTCTGCATCAAAGCACAACAAGTTAATTCTACTGCTGAAGTCACAAGAAAAAACCTACCACACCTGAAATTACAGACAAGACAGCACTCTAAAGAAAACCCTGAGCATGTATTTCCTAAATAGTCAGGTCAGACAGGCACCAAGATCTAAACTATCTTCATCACCAAGAAAATACTGGCCAGCTAATAACATAGTAAGCATTTAAGGTTCCTATGGCTAAAAAGAAGTTTGCTTGCCCACAGTCTTTCATTTTATTGCTAAAAGCAGCAGCAGATTGTTTTTATTGCCCCATAAAAAGCTTTCAAGCTGCCCTGCACACACACAGCCATGGTGTTTACTTACTCAGGTGGCTGTAGCTCCAGATGTAGCTGATAACCACATACCCAGCCAGTACCATGGAGATCCCCCCCAGGCCTCCCTTCCTCACGTTGATGTATTTGTTGTAGTATCTGTCATAACCTGTGGAGGAGGAAAGTTTTCAGAGCAGCCAGATGAACTGTGGATTTTCCTGTGTCAGAAAGAAGCAGCCTGAATTCATAGAACATCAGGAAATTGTTCCCAAGGAAACATCAGAGGGTGTTGGAAACAAGTGTGAGAGGAAGCAACCTGTGTGTTGGTCGAGCAAGGTGACCTCAAGTTAGTAACCCTCAGCCTTAAGAAGGGAGAAACGATTTTTACCATTCCCCCCTAAACATTGTCATAGAATCATAGAATTTTAGGGGTTGGAATGGACCTTAGAGATCATCTAATCCCAAGGCCTGCCCTGGGCAGGGACACCTCTCACCAGACCACATTGCTCAAGGCTTTGTCCAGTCTGTCTTTGAACACTGCCAGGGTTGGGGCAGCAACAGCCTCTCTGGGCAACCTGTGCCAGTGTCTCACCACCCTCACAGGGAAAAAATTCCTCCTAATATCTAACCTAAACTTCCCCTCATTCAATTTGAACCCATTACCCCTTGTCCTATCACTGCAGTTCCTAACAGAGTCCATCTCCAGCTCCCTTGTAGCCTCTTCAGATATTGAAAAGTTGCTATGAGGTCTCCACACAACCTTCTCTTCTCCAGGCTGAACAGCCCCAACTCCCTCAGCCTGCCCTCATAGGGGAGATGCTCCAATCCTCTGATCAGCTTTGCAGCCTCCTCTGGCCTTGCTTAATTATTGTGACTTTTATGAGCTCAAGCTGCTTTGGAACTACCCAATTCCTTCATACTGGTGTATATACATTATGCGGATGCTTGCATTGACATTTTGTGTTTAAATGTACTTTCATGCACTCAAACTGCCTTGAAATCATCCAGTTCTTCCATCCTAGTGTATATACATTATATACATGTGTCTTATCAAATGCAAACAGTTGCATTTGATACTTTGTGTTGAAATCCACCTGAATTAGATCTGTCCCCATAGCACAGGACATTGGTCAAAACCTTTCCCAAGTGACCTGTTTCCCCTGTGTCCCCTCTGTAGGGATCTTTTGAGGGTTTTTTTTATAACTTTTTATTTCCTTGTGATGTCGTGAACCCTCAAGATTTCCAGCCAATCGGTTCAGGAGTCAGGTGACCACATTTCCCCTTTGTACAGGAAGGAACACTGAAAACAAACCTACAATCGTAGACTCCTCAAGGTTAGCAGAGACCTCTGAGATCACCAAGTCCAACTGTTCACCAGCACGACCCCTGTAACCCCTAAACCCTAAACCATATCCCCCAGCGCCACATCCAGAGGCCTCTTAAACAGGTGACTACACCACCTCCCTGGGCAATATCCAAATGCCTCATCTGACCTGTGGCAGATAAAACCAACACGAGGAACACCTCATCAGACGGGAGAAGGTGATGCTAAGGCAAAACCTGCTCTGGAGCAGCCCCTGCACGGCCAGACCCCCCTCCAGAGCCAGCGCCCCGGCCCGGACCCCTCCTCATAATGCCGCCGGGGGTGAAGTCCCTCATGGCCAGCCAGGTGGGCAGCTGGCCCAGCTTCACGTCCATCAGCTTCGCATCCTTGAGGAGAACTGCGGGGAGAGCAGAGAGCGCGGTCAGGGGCAGCGCGGGCAGCGCGGGGGGAAGGGGCCGCGG